ACTACTATTACTACTACTACTATACTACGACTACTACTACATGCTACGACTACTACTACTACTACTACTACTACTACTACTACTACTACTACTACTACTACTACTACTAGTACTACGACTGATTCAGCATCAACTGTCGAAGGTCCTCTCGCGGATCTTTTGGATATGAGCTGGACCCCTCCTCCCTGGCTCGCGGAAAGCGCGCCCAGAAAGGGGGCACGGAGGCGCCGACTTTCAAAGAGACCGCGGGGAGGCCCGTCAGCTGCTGTTCGCAGCCATCCTGCTACCACAAGGGATGCTGAACCAGGAACGAACCGCCCTCCTCTTCTTCCTCCTCCTTCCCACCTCATCTCCTATCCCCCTCCTCCTCCTCCTCCTCCTCCTCCTCCTCCTCCTCGTCCTCCTCCTCCTCCTGCACACTCGCGGGTGTGAACAAAAACACCCAGCCACTCCAGCTGCACCATAGCCTTCCGAACGCCCTGGACGCCTCGACTCCGCTGGGGACAGGGCGGAATGGCGTGCGCCACTTGAAAAACCTAACGACGGGGCGGTCCTGGCCACGGCGAGCCTCGGCCACGACGAGGCTCCGCCGACCCAGATCGAAGGACCTGCCCGACAGCCGGAGCCCCCTCCCGAGCCCGAGGCGGCCCTTCTTCTTCGCCATCCTGACCGCACGCTGTGTGAAGCCACCCCCGATTGTCGTCTCCCGACTCCTGCTGCCCGCCCCTGGCCTTCTGGAAGGCCAGCGCCTCTGAGCATCGTGGAACCGATCCTCATCCCCACAGGCGTGGCCTTGGCAGCCTCGGCCCACTGGCCGACGTATCAACCTGAGTTGGGACAGACTCTGCTCCCCTGCGGGTTTCGCGGGACCTGTCCCAACCTGATGCGGCGGGCTGGTGGAGCTGGGATACCATGGCCAAGTGGGGATGTGGATCGGATGCCGTCGGCAACGTTTGCACAGCGTGTCGCGGCGGCGGCCCCGGAGACACGATATGTCTTGCGAGTGGATGGCGTGCCGCTCTGCTCCGCGGCACGGGAGGTTCGGAAAGGCCCGGGGCGTGGACGCCTGGGGACTGGGAAGCGGATAGCGCGCCGCGCCGAAGCGTGGTGAGCCAGAAGCGGCGGAGCGACGCTCTGTCCAAAAGCTCCCGACCGCAGGTCAAGACGATGCTGAGCCTCCTCGTAGCAGCGCTCGATAGCGCCAGCGCCCCCCCTGGGGCGTCTCAGCGGGTCCGCCAGCCGCAGGTCGGAGCAGAAGAGCAGCCAGTCCGGCATGTCCATCGCGCGGGAGCCGTCCTTGCGGGACGGGGAATTGTCAATACGCCACCGTGCCCCAGGGCACGTTGAGGCGTGGAAGAATGCAAGGTGCTGTCTGGTAGGGCTCCTGCGTTAAGATGCCTCGACGACGGGCCAAGATGGCCCCAAAGCGGCCGAAGATGCCTCCAAGAAGGCTCGAAAGGGACAAAAGAGGACCTGCGACAAGGTCCGCAAAAACAAAAAATTGTCGCATTCGTGCCTTTTCGGGCTTCCGTCAGTTCAAGACGCCCTAAGAAAACTCCACTATGGCCCAACAGGCCTCCACGAGGGCCCACAGATGACCCAAGAAGACTCCACGAAGGTCCAAGAAACATTCAAGACGGCCGCAATCCAACCCAAGAGGGCCTCCCGTGAGACCCAAGACGGCAATAGAAGGCCCCTCGAATGCCAAAGACGGCCCCACGGGCCCCAAGACACCAGCCACACGGCCAAGGGGCCACAAGACGGCCCGAGAGCCCCAAGACGGCCTGACGAGGCCCCAGGACGGGCCAAGAATGGCCCAGAGGGACTCCCAAGACTGCCTCGCAGGAGGCCAAGACATTCCCAAGAAGACCCAAACGAGTTCCTTCGGAGATCCTCAAAGCATGAAGACGAAAGGTGTCACATGTGACCGCCTGATTATTCCTTCTTCTCCTCCTGATCGTCATCCTCCTGCTGCTTCTCCTCGTCCTCATGCTCATCGTCCTCGTCCTTGTCCTCGTCCTCGTCCTCGTCCTCGTTCTCCTCCTCCTCCTCATCCTCCTCTTCCTCCTCGTCATCATCATCATCATCAGCATCGTCGTCATCATCATAATCAACAAACAAAACCACCATCGTCACCACCACCACCGCCCCCACCATCATCATCATCATCATCATCATCATCATCATCATCATCATCATCATCATCAGCAGCAGCATCATCATCATCATCATCATCATCATCATGATCATGATCATCATGATCATCATCATCATCATCATCATCATCATCATCATCATCATCACTACCATCCTCAACACCATCAACACCGTTACCACCACCAGATTATGCAGACGCAGCATCATGATAATGGTTATGATCAGCATTGGCATCAGCATCACCATGGTCAGCATCGTGATTAACATTATCATCATGTTCATCATCACCAGCACCATCAGCATCATCATTGTCAGCATGAGCACTATCATCATCTGCAGCATCATCGTCATCATCAGCATCAGCATCATCAGTATCACCATCATCAACAACGTAATAGACATCCCCATCATCCTCATAATCCTCATCGTCCTCATCACGGCCCTCCTACAGCACCCTGGAGACAGGAGGTGTCCCACGTCACAGCCTCCCGTGCCCTCTGGAACGGTCGCCACCCAGAATGCTGGGCTGGCACGGTGGTGGGGCTTGCCGCAGGCAGCTGGACAACCACGGCCCTGGGAACCGCCCGTCCTTCCCAGATCGCAGACGCTCTGACTCAGGCCGAGCGGCGTGCTCGTCCTCGACCTCGGCCCCCGGGGGCCGTTGTCGGGCCCCGGGGGCCCGCAGGAATCGGATCCAGGACGGAAGGCCACCCCCCGTGGAGTGGGGTCCGGGGCCGCGGACGGTAACACATCCGACAGGCGGATGTCCGGGTGCGGGGAGCTCGGCAGGCACTGGATAGGGCTGCAGAGTCGCCCCCCCCCCCCCCCCCCGAGGGCCCGAGCACGCTCCTCAGAGGCGAGGGGCCAAGTGGTCCTTCGTCGTCCCTGGGTGCGCGGCTCAAGTGGGATTCCGTGGCCAAGAGTGTTGCCGTTGCACTCTCGCTGCTGAACAAGAAAGATGGTTGACCCTCCCCCCTCCGATGCCCATTCCGTGTTTCGATTGAAGTGACCGCTCTGGGTCTCGCACCCTGTTTTTTACACGGGAAGGTCCTAATCCTCAGACTGCACTGTCGGCTCCACATGATAACAACACAAACAACATGAACAACACCAACAACACCAATAACAACAGCAACAACAGCAACAACAGCAGCAACAACAGCAACAACAGCAACAACAGCAACAACAGCAACAACAGCAACAACAGCAACAACAGCAACAACGCCAACAACAACAACAACAGCAACAACAGCAACAACAGCGGCAACACCAGCAACAACAACAACGACAACGACAACAACAACAACAGCAACTGCAACAGCAACAGCATTAACAACGGCTCCCGCCTGACAATCCCAGACAGTATATATATGTGTATATATATTCAAAGCCACGCTCTCGCGCGTGATCGCCCCACAATGTACATGTGCAGGAGGCAGGCTCTGGCGTGGGACTTCCTCGCAGATGATTGCTCCGACTCTCCGCGCCCGCGACGCTCCATGATCACGCTACCGCTCCGGACTTCCGCACGACTCACTTGGGAATTTTGGACGCCCGAAATGGGTACCGAACAAATGGGTACAATGCCCAACAGCAAAAGCTGTCCCAAACCAACAGCGGCCGCTGTTGGGCAGGCGGCCCTCTGTCTCAAATGGGCACAGGCCGCGGCGGCGTGGACAGCAAATCCTGTTCAAAATGAACAGGAACTGCAGTTGGGCATTGTACCCATTCCTTCAGTACCCATTTCGGGCGTCCAGACACTTGGCAATCGCGCTGCCGCTCGAGACGCCCGCGCGCCTCACGCAGGATGTTGGCGCTGCCGCGACCCGCCCGGCCTCGACCCGGCCATCCCCGGGCCCGCGCGCCTGGCCCGCCCGCCAGCAGTTATCCGCCCGCCCGGACCGCCCCGCCTGGCTCGGAAACGAAGGATTGCAAAACAACTCAGGATTTCAAAAAAAAAAACAGGATTGCAAAAAAACCCAAAACGAAGGATTGCAAAAAAAACCCTCACTTGAACGAAGGATTGCAATCCTTCGTTTTTGCAATCCTTTGCAATCCTTCTTGCAATCCTCTGCTCCGGACCCCCCTCCCGCAGATCTCTCTCCTCGCCGTCGCTCGGACGTCCACTCCCTGTGATTCTTGTCGGTCTCGTGCGCGGTCTGCTTCGCCAGATGATCACGGATGCTCCCAGGTGGCCCTCGCCGAAGGAAAAACGCAAACATCCGAGCGATGCCAATCTCTCTCGTGCTCCATCCTCCTCCCTGCCCCGCGTCCTTTCCTTATTATATCCTCCCTCTCTTCCCCTCGCTAGGGGCTGCGACAACGACGCGTGGCGGGCAAAGAAGATAACCAGATAGACCACCAAGGGGGGGGCACGATCGAAGACAAAGAGGGCGAGTATATAGGGTTTGGGATGTGCGTGTCGAATGGTTTTCGAACAGGTAAGAGCGTTATTGAAACGGCTGTTGGTGTTGTTGCTGCTGTTGTTGGTGTTGTTGCTGTTGGTTGTGTTGCTGTTGCTGCTGGTGTTGTTGCTGATGTTGTGGTGTTTGGTTGTGCTGTTGTTGTTTTTGTTGTTTGTTTGTTTGATTGCTTGCTTGTTGTTGTTGTTGCCGTCGCCCTCGCCCGCAGCCCGCCTACGACCCACCCGCGACCCAACCCGCGACCCTCCCCGCGCCCGCCCCATGACTCTTATCCGCAGACGCGGGATGCTACGTATCTCCACGGACCGCCGAGGTCCCCGAAGATGGATCTCCCAAGCGGTGGGCTGTGGACCGATCCCTGCACTCGACTTCGTCCTGCAGCCGCATGCTCGCGGAGGCTGCGAAGAACACCTTCAGGGTGCGGTCCTGCTCGCGCAGCATCGCCAAAGTCTCCAGCTCGAGCCCCGGAAACGCCGCACCCAGGGCCTCTGGAGGAAGCACATCTGCATATGCAGAAATATAGCCTGAGCGACCTAAAGAAATTGGTATTTCGCACGATGGCGTCGCGACACTGCACGGTGGCCTACGCGGGCCGCCAGAGCGGCACGCTGCATTGCAGACGATGGCGTTTACTCGCGACCTTACGCGAGCAACATACGAGCGAATGTCGGCGCAGACATCCCCGTATTCTTCCGTCGCTCACCTGTCGAAGCTCCGCGCGGATTTCCTGATCGGCGCTGGAGCCCCCCTCGCGGCGACTCTGGCGCGCTCCGCGCGCCAGGGAAGAGGGGGTCCAGCACCGAACCAAGAAATCCACGCGGAGCTCCGACAACTTGTGTTTTCATGCCGCTGCGTGTCTCATCTTATCATTTGTCTTATTCCTCCTCCTCCTCCTTATCCTCCTCCTCCGTCTCGTCCTCCTCCTCCTCCTCCTCCTCCGCTTCCTCTTACTATTATTAGTATGATTGGTACTGGTGTGATTCGTCTTCTTCCCAGCACTAATACTATTATGTTGTGTCCGATCGTTATCGATATTGTTTGTAAGATTAGCAATACTCGTATGATTTGCACTATGATTCTTACTGGTATCAGTATTGTTGCTGTTAATATTTGCCGTCGTAAAATTCTTACAACTATTCGTCTTCAATTTCTTGTATTACTAATGGTAGTATGCTTATTATTCAGGTTCGTCTTCCCTTTCTCTTCTTCATTCTTGAAACTGTTCGTCTTCTCAGTATTCATCTGATCATCCTTCTCCTTCTCCTTCTCCTGGCCTCGGCCGCGGCGGCGCCGCCTTCGGCGGCGCCGCCCTCGACCTCGGCCCCCTCCGCGCCCGACGGAGCGCGCCAGCCCCGGCGCCGCGGCGACTGCGAGGAGCTCAGGGCCCGCCGCAGCTCGGCGAAGGCCATCCACCTGTCGGAGGGCGCCTGCTGCACACACTCGGGAGCGGCCAAGAGGGGGGGTGTCCAAGAGGGGGGGGGGGGGGGGGCAAATCATGACCGGCGGCATGTGCGCGGCCCAGCAGGGGGCCAGGGACGTAATGAAACAAGAGGAGGCGCCATGAGATCTGGGGAGATATCATGGCCCCCGCTATGATCTCCCCCACCCCCCCCCTTAGTCATCACCCTCTTTCCCGCCCCCGATGCACGCACCAGCTCGCCTGCGCCGACCCTGGCCGGACCCCGGGCCGAGACCCCCTCCTGCTTTGCAGCGAGCACGACGGCGAGCTTTCCCCCGCGGGGCCCTCGCCGGGCCCCGGGGCTGCCCGGCAGGGATATGCGCGACGACGAGACGCCCGCGTGCAGGGGAGGGGGCCCAGAACTGCCGGGGGCCCTCGCTGCGAACCAGAAAAAAAAAGCACAGCGGGCCCGCGGGAGGGCACGTCTGCGCCTCGCTGGACCCTGGCTGGGCCCGTCCCGGGCCGAGGCTCTCGGTGTCTACGCCCTCCTGGCCCGGCGAGGAACGCACACACGCCGATATCCTGCAGGATGTGCGTGCTTCCCTTCGCCCGGCACCTGGCGACACGCACCCACTTGAACTGCGCCGCGCTCCGCTCCTCCTCGCTCATCCGCGGCTCCTCCTCGTCCTCTGCGCCGCCGCCAGCAGCCTCGGCCTTTTCTGCAGGCCGCGCCTGCGGCCCCCTAGCGGCGTCGTGCTCGAGCTTCCGCCGGAGGATGGCGAGCGGCTCCCTCAACCTCGCGATGTCGTCGAGGGAGCACGTGCCGCTGCACGTCGGGTCGGCGAGCTGGAGGAGCCCCCTCTCGTCGAGGCCACAGACGACCTCGGGGTCCACCCCCAGCAGCGCCAGGCCGCCAGCCAGCTCCATCATGCTCGCGCGGCCCCATACCTTGTGCGCCTCCTCCACACTGCCGAGCCGCGCACCCAAAGCAATGGGCAACGCCCTGGGCCCCCGGAACACCCCGGCGGCGTCCAGCCTCGCGAACAGGGACGCCTGCGCCCGGAGGTGCGTCGCCCATCCGGACTCCGGCTTCACGCACTTGAGCCTCTGCAGCGCCGCCTGCCGCTCGCGTGCCCAGGGCAGCACCATCCGGGACACCTGGGCCTCCCTCTCCTGGTCCCCAAAGGCGAACCCTTCGGAGAGCAGCGGCCTGTGTTGGCCCTCGGCCTGCACCGAACGGTACCAGTGGACGCACGCCTCCGTGTCGCAGTAGCCCTCGGCCATGGTGGCCACGAACGGGGCCTCCACGCGGATGCTGCCGCTGAGGACGCCCATCCACGGGTTCGGCTTCCACGCCGCCCCGCGGTGCTTCTGGCTGGAGGACTGGAACGCCGACGAGCCGCCGGCCGTGGAGGCGCCCGCGGGCATCCAGCCCGTGGAGCTGTCCATCCAGCCCTCGCCAGTCGCCCGCGGAGACGCGCTCTGGCTGGGCGGCGGGGAGGCCGCGCGGCTGGCGGGCGACCGGGGGCTGGCGATCGCGCGGCCGCCCTCGAGCTCGTGCGCCCGCCGCTCGGCGTCGGGGCCCGCGGAGGGCCAGCGCGACGAGGTGCTGAGCCCCAGCGACGCGGACGCTCCGGCGGAGGCGGCCGCCCGCGGCCCTGTGCGCCAGGACGACGAGGACGACCCCGGGAACCAGCTCGAGCCGCTCGCGCATATCAGCGGCTGGCTCGAGGCGGTGATGTGCGGCAGCTCCGTCGACGAGCGCCCCGGCGGACCGGGCGCCAGCGCCGGCTCCGACGCCGAGGGCTGCAGCGCCCGCCGCTGCCGCAGCGTTTGCTCGATGGGCGCCGCGCTGAACTTGATGTCGGCGCCCTTGCGCCTCGGGATGGGCTTCCGCAGGCGGACCCGGGCCTCCTCGCGCTGCGGCGCCGAGATCCGGCTCACGGTGAGCTCCCCCGGGGCCTGGGCCACGCCCCCGCCGAGCGGGAAGGCCAGCTCGGCCGACGACCAGACGCCGGGGCTCGTCGAAGACACCGTGGACCGAAATATCATGGCCGCCGGCGGGTCCTCTGCTGCTCCTAACTTGGCCGCACCGATTCGTAACGCGCAACCCGTAGCGTGTTGACGCGGAGCTCAGCACGTGAACTGAAAACGTGGGTCTGGCGCGGTATGTTCGCCAAAACATTGGCCAAAACATGCCGATCCAACACGCAGCGTGTTTTTTACACGGAAGTTTTGAACACGGTACGCGTTGCGTTTCGAAACGGGCGTATGAGGGCAGCTAAGGCTCCTAATCCTCCTCCTCCTCGCCCCCGGCGCCGCTGGGGGTGGGCCCAGTCAAGCCGAAGGGGGGCCTCGTCGGGCCGAGGGCGGCCGAATCACAGCCTGAGCCAGCATGGCTTGAGCCAGGCCGGCCGCGGACGCGCGCACCCGCGCGCACACTGTTGGCGTCTCGGCCACAGGCGCGGCGGCGCGGCGCAGAACAGGTCAGACACGCGCGCTCATACATACAGTGTGAAGGGCTCCTGAGGTCGTCTCGGGGTGAGAAGCTCGGGAACCGAAGGCGCTACGAAAAACTCAAGGTTAGAATATGGAGTTGGCGGTCTGGGGCACCTCTCGGGGCCTCACGCTGTGCCTCTCGTGCGCTTATAGAGTCTTCTTGGATCGTTCGGGGCATATTGAGCTTTCCTGGCGGCCAAGGCAGGCCCTCTTGGGCTGTCTGGCCAGCTTCTTGGCACCCGCTTGAGACGTCGCGGGCCCGACTAGCGTAAAGGCCTCGGATTGACGTGCACTCCTGGGCCCCTCTTTGACACCACCTCCAATCCGACCCAGCGCACAAATCGACCTTCCAAGAGGATGGATTAATGGAGGGGGGCAGGACTGACAGGCTCCAGCCACAGGGCCAAAGGCGCGCTAGACTCGCTGGATTCTGCCCTGTTGTTTGTACACCCCGCTCCTCCTCCCTCCTCCTCCTCCTCCTCCTCCTCCTCCTCCTCCTCCTCCTCCTCCTCCTCCTCAGCTTCTCTCGACACCGACCCCGGGCACGTCTTCTGGGGCGCATTCTGACGACAAGGGTCTCGACTGCGAGCCGCCGCGGCCCAGGCCCCATAGGAGGCCCAAGCAGGCAACCGCCGTCGGGAGCCCGCCTCCCAATTCGGGTCGGACGGGAAAGGGGGGTTAGCAAAAGGGGGTTAGTGCGAGGCGAGCAGTCCTCCATATCCAGAGGACGGTTGACCACCGCCTCCCGAACCTCAGGGGGAGGAGGACACTGATACATACAGACATACAGACATACAGACATACAGACATACAGACATACAGACATACAGACATAGAGACATACAGACATACAGACATACAGACATACAGACATACATGCATGCATGCATGCATGCATACATGCATACATACATATACACACAATATTGTAAGGCTCTCTGCGCTTCGCCTTCTAATCTTGCTCCTTGCACCGACGTGTCTCTAGTGACGCTGCGGTCAAGATCGTCGTCGTCGTCGCCGCCGCTGCCGTCATCGTCGTCGTCGTCGTCGTCGTCGTCGTCGTCGTCGTCGTCGTCGTCGTCGTCGTCGTCCCCCTTCGGGGTCAGCGGCGCCAGCCGCACAGCCCTCGAGATCGGTGGCACGCACTACAGGATGGGTAAGAGGAGCAGGAGGAGGAAGAGCAGGAGGAGGAGGAAAAGCAGGAGGAGGAGGAGGGGGCGGAGAAGGAGGAGCAGAGGGAGGAGGGGGAGAAGGGATGGGCAGAGGGGAAGCAGAGAGAGGACAAGCATGAGCAGGATGAGAGGAGGAGGAGGAGGAGGAGGAGGAGGAGGAGAAAAGGAGGAGGAGAAAAGGAGGATGGGGGAGGAGAAGTAGGAGGAGGAGGAGGAGAAAGAGGATAAAGGGGAAACGGATGAGGACGAGGAGGAGGAGGATGAGGAGGTGAGGAGGATGGGAGGAAATTTCCGAAGAGTTGTCGGGAGTGACATTGGAATCTTCTTGGATTTTCTTGGGAATCTCTTCAGAGACTCGTGAGAGAATAGGTGCTGACGCTGAAACAATGGGAAGTTAATGAAGTTGGCCTGTAGGTCTGATTGGGGATACGCTTGGGGCCCTTTTCTGGTCATCTATGCGCCCTCTTGGGCTGTCCTGGAACCCTCTAGGGCCGTTTTCGGACGACGACGACGACGACGACGACGACGACGACGACGACGACGACGACCGAACTCGGCGACGACAACTGGCCATCGGGTGTCGTTTTGGAGCCATCTTGGGAGGCCTTGGAGCGCGCTTGAAGCTGTCCTGGAAGCGTCCGGGGCTCCTCATGGAAGCATCTGGACAGTTCGTTCGGAGCTCGTGGCAGGTCTCTTGGGGGCCTTCTGGAAGGATTTTGGAAGCCTCTTGGGGCCTGGTTCGGTGCCTGTTGGGGGCCGTTTGGGGGGCTCTTGGGGACCGCTCGGGAGTTTCTTGGGGGGCCTTTGGGAGCTCCCTGGTGACCTCCACGGCTTTTTGTTGGTGCCTCCTGGGGGTCTCTTGGGGCCGAGGGCCCGACAAGTCTGTTCGGATCCCCCGTCTGGGCTCTCTCTTAGAGCCGCCTTGGAGGCCTCTTGGGCTGTCTTGTGGACCGTTTGGGCCGTTTTGGGGCTGTTTCGGGTTTTGTTTGGGCGGTCTTGGGGCGATCTTGGGGGCCTCTTGGGCGGTCTTGGAGCTTGGGGAAGCCGAACAGGCGAGCCCCGTAGAAACCTTCCAGACCTACAAAAACAACAACAACAACCACTTTTGCCTCTTGGGGCTCTCTTGGGAAGCCCCTTGGACGCCTCTTGGGGCGTTTTGGAGGCGTCTTGTGCCTTATTGAGACTATCTTGGGCGTCGTGGAGCGATGTTTGTGCGTCTCGCGGCTCTCTTGGAGGATCTTGGGGGCAGGTCTCTTGGGGGCCTCCTGAAAGCATTTCGGAAGCCTCTTGTGGCCCGGTTCGGTGCCTGCTCTTGGGAGTCTCGTGGGGGTCCTCCGGGGGCTTCTTGGGGGCCTCCAGGGCGTTTCTTGGCGCCTCCTGGGGGCCTCTTGGGGCCGAGGGCCCGAAAAGTCTGTTCGGACCCCCCGTCCGGGCTCTCTCTTAGAGCCGTCTTGGGGCCCTCTTTGGGCCGTCTTGGAAGCCTCTCTTGGTTCTGTTTCGGGGGTTACTTTGGCGGTCTTGGGGCGGTTTTGGGGGCCTCTTGGGCTGTCTTGGAGCGTCGGGAAGCCGAGAAGGCGAGACCCAAAGAAACCTTCAAAAACCTTCGACCAAAAAGCAACCACTTTTGCCTTTTTGGGGCTCTCTTGGGAAGCTTCCTGGACGTCTCTAGGGGCGTTTTGGAGGCGTGTTGGGCCATATTGGGACTATATTGGGAGTCGTGGAGCGATCTTTGTGCGTTTCGTGGCCATCTTGGACGATCTTGGGGACCTCCTGGGGCCGTTTGGAAGCCTCTCGTGCCGTCTGGAGGCCTCTTCAAGGCGCCGGGGTGGGGGTCTGGGGTTCGCGTGCGGGTTCCCGGGGGGGGGGGGGGCGGTGACATGCCGGCTTTTCTCTTTAATTCGTTAGGTAGAAGGAATATGTATATATATATATATATATATATTATATATATATATATATATATATATTATATATATATATATATTAGTAATAATAAAAATAATAATAACAACAATAATAATAATAATAATAATAATAATGATACTATACAAGACTGCATTGGCGCTGCGCGCCATGCACCTTGGTCTTTTGGATTTCGCACGCTAGCGGAGTGCGAGCGTGCGTGCATGCGCGCGCACATGCGTCTGTGAATGCATAGTACATATGTACATATATCTATATATATATAAGTTTGTTTGGATATGTGCATGTATATGCAAATGGTCAGTGTCAGTATGCGTGCGCATGCACATGCGTATATCAGGCGGTAGTGGCCTGACCAGTTGCTCGTATCATCGCGCCACTAAAAGGCGCGAGGGTCTCAGGCAAACGTGGTCAGACTACCATGGGACAATGCGTCGCCGAGGTCAGTGTTGCGAGGACGGCCCGGGTGAAAATGGTCTGAACAGCTCCGCTCAAGGGAAGGCACATCCGAAGTCAGCCGCGCGAGGAAACGAGGAGCGGTCTGGACACCTCTGCTCAGGGCATCCTTGAACTTAGAGTTGCGAGAAGTCGCACGCGAAAGAGGCCGAACCACCGTGGTGCAAGGCACCTCCGACGTGAGACTTGCGAGAGTGTCTCAGGCGACAGTGGCTGGAACGCCTCAACTGAGAGCGTCTCGGGCCCCAGAGCTGCGATGATGTCTCCAGCGAAAACGGCGGGACCGACGCGAAGCGAGGCGCTTCTGAGGTCGGAGTTGCGAGCATATCGCCGGCGAAGTTGATTAGACCACTTCCGTTATCTCTTCTTCCTCCTTCCCCTTTTCCTTTCCTCCTCCCCCCCCCCCCCCTCCTCCTCCTCCTCCTCCTCCTCCTGTTCCTCCTCCTCTTCCTCTCCCCCCTCTCCGCGTCTTTTTTGTCCATTCTCCCCATCCCTGGCGGCGCGGCGCGGCGCCGCTCGGCCTCTCTGCGAGTCAAGCGGAGGAGGAGGAGGAGGAAGGAGGAGGACGTTGCGAGTGTTCGCGCGGCCGTGAGTCCCCAGGGAGTGTTTCCCCAGGATGTATGCTGAAACCGAAGGTTCCCGACGGCCTGATCTCCGAAATGTCACAAGAACCCTGGTTCCCAACAGCGCGTCCGGATGAGATGGCGTCGCGGCCCCGACGGTTTGAGTGTTGCGAGAAGCTCAGTCGAGGCGGGAGGAGGAACATGAAGAGGATGAGGAGAAGGAGGAGGAGGAAGGGGAGGAGGATGAAGAGGAGGAAGAGGATGAAGAGGACAGATTATGTGGATATCTGGGGCACAGCCGAGGAGTCGCGGAAAAAATCCGCAGCAGAGACTTGGGAGAGTGAGGAGAGCTGCTTCTGCTAGACCTTTGGCGGGGCGGAACGTGAAACATCACGGGGAATTAGGAGAAGGAGGAGGAGGAGGTAGAGGAGGAAGCGAA